TATAGCCGAAGCTGTGTACCCAACGACCTGTAGTGAAACCCACCCAGTGAGCCTTGTTCTGGGACCTACACTGGCTACAGAGTTCTCCCTGACCCAGAGGGTAAAGGTGGATAAGTGACAAAGAGACTCAGTTTGACACATGGGCAGCCAGGGGGCTCTCGCTTTTAGTAGGCAGAGGACTCCACCTCCTATGCCTGGTTCATCTGACCTTTATTCACCAGTGCAAACCATCACAGTAACACCAGAATCATCTGCTTTCCAATAGCCATTAGCTCATTCTATTATATCTGAGTTCTCATACCACTTCTGTGAAATATTTGAATTTGAATTTTATTTTAAATTTAATTTTCACTAATGTTTTTGAATTCTCAACATTTTAATAAACATATATCAAGAAAACCTCACTTTATTACAACACATTCATATACAAGCATCTGTCATCTAAATTTTCAACATCAAATGTTTATCGAATATTGAAAATAAAGAACAAAACATTATTAGACTATTGAGCTATAACACAATAACATGTTTTAAAAAGTGGTCCTTGTGGACAATTGTCCAAATGATCCTACTCATTCACTGTATGAATAATTTTCAGTAATTTTAACAATGAAACATCTAGGTAGATTTCCATCTGGGTAGCTCAGTTAGACTAACCCGAGTCTAGAGAAGCTGACGTTTCTCTACATCTCATCCTCATACTGTGACAACCCCACATGCTGAGCTGCTAACTCTCTGAACTCATGGGTTCATCGGTGTTATGTCTTCTTCTTCCTCACCAGCATCTAGTTCCATTGTACAACTTCCTTTCTTCGTTTTCACTGCTGTTACTTTAGTTAAGGCTTTGTCATCTCTCCAGCTGATTATTGTCACATCCTTATATGTTCTTGTCTCTGGTCTTGATCCTTTCCAGTTTACCCCAGTCACAACAGTACCATTTTAAAACCCAGATGAAATCATGATGCTTTCCTATTTAAATCTCTTTAGCTCTACTCAATGACTTCATAGTTAATCCCATTTTAATTTTGCAGGGCATACAAGGCACCAGCTCTGGGACTCAGCAAGGATAGTTGGCTGTCATTGCTATCCATACACCATGTTAGAGGTGCAGTGATGAGTAGAAATCACTGCCTTGTTTATGGAGGGCAGTTCTACATCACCTAGTATGGTACATACAGTATGTCGATCATGGAGTTGTAAACATGGGCTTAGCTTTGCAAGATTATGATACTGAGGATTGCACTGAGCTACATCCCCAGCCCTATTTTAATTTTATTTTTTCATTTTGAAACAGGGTCTTGCTAGTCTCTAAATCTCCCAGGTTGGGCTCTGGATTGTGATCCTCCTGCCAGAGGAAGGCATGCCACCACACCTAATGCAAGATCTTTTTTTTTTAATTAGTGTGTCTTAACATATTGTCTTAATTAAAACAACAAAAACAACAAAACACTATATAGACAAATTTCAAAATGTGTATCTATGGCCTAGACCCTTTGTCTTTTGTGGAACCACTTTCTATCATGATGCACTAGCTCTGTGCTCTGTGTAGCATTCTGCTTTCTTAGATCAACCATAAGGCCTTTTCAGGGTGGGACCTTATCCTATTTGTGTTTATATCCCAGCGCCTGGCATAGAATAGGAAGCTCACTCAATATTTATCGGATAAATGAAAAGTATTTACAAAAGCATTTTTAAACTAAGGTATCTGTGGAAACTCAGTAATTACAGAGTCCAATTTAATTTAATAATTATCTCCTCAAAATGAAAGGCAGAGAAATGCTAAAATTCCATTGTGGAAATTGATGAAAGTGAAAGTTACCAAAAACAAATAAAAAGGAGGATGGGTTAGCAGGGGTGAGAAAGGATCCCAGGTCTTCCTCATGTTCACCCTGTACCTTTGCTGGACCTGACCTTCACATCTCAACAGTCCCATGGGCTAACGTCTCTAGGCCCCTGCTCCACACAGGTGTGACTGTTTCCTCATGGGTCTCCCTGGGCTGTCCAAGAGCTTTCCCCACCGAGGGTTGCACAAAGTCACATGATGCTTCCCTCACAGCCAGCCCCAAGCTTTTTGGCCCAACTTCCCTCAAATTTGAACTTAGATTGTAGCATCCTGGCTGATGTGGACTTGCTGGAAACTCTAGTGGGTTTCGGATTTATTTTAGTAAAACTGCCTGGACAAGAAACAAAGACTTAACATAAATGAATGACGACTTAGAAAAATATATTATACACTACAAAATCGCATCTCTATACAGGAAGAAAAAACTCTGAGTTATGTAACAGTGGTGATTATTTTAAAATATATTGTATAAAGTACACCAAGTGATATGCGACCTTAGAGTAAGTAAAATTGTTATTGAGGATAAGGATATACAACAGTAAAATGATAATGAACAGGGCCGGGGATTTAGCTCAGCGGTTCGGTGGCCTGCCTTGCAAGCGCAAAGGCCTGAGTTCAATCCCCGGGACCAAAAAAGAAAAAAAAAAAAGATAATGAACAATTTAAAAAATGAAATAATAAGATTAAATAAATTTTGAGTGGATGCACCCATCACATCAGTCTTAATACATGGGAGAGTTGGCAAATGTTTTCGTACTTAAATTCTGTGGCAGTGTATCTCTTAATACAACACTGCAATACAGTAAGCTTAGTCTATACCGATACTCTGTGTTGTGTTGGTATAGATTCAAAACATATATAAAAGTAAAATGGCATGGATGAATGTTGAAGACACTGAAAGAGTTAATTAATATGGTTAATGACTTCTCTGGGAGATATTTTATTTAAATAGGTAGCGGGAGAGAGTGGTCCATTTTATTTAGGTTGGTGGAGGAAACCACAATTTATATAGGCCTGTTTGTATTTATTGGGTATTGGTGGTTCACTAATAACTTGCTAATATTCATAAAGTTCTATAGTTTACCAAAAGTTCACATTCGAAATAAGTGAAGCCAGGTGGGGTGGTATGTGCCTGTAACCCCAGAACTCTGGAAGGCTGAGGGAGAAGGATCTCAAGTTCAAACCCAGCCCAACTTAGTGACTTTTTTAGACCTTGACTGAAAATAAAAAAGTAAAAAGAGCTAGTGATGTAGGTACCTTGTGGGTAAAGTAAACCTGGAGAGGAGAAACTTCCTGGTAGCAGTGGTCCTCAGCTGAGTCCTAAAGGATGTGCAGTTGGCCTCAGGAAGAACAAGGACCTTACAGGGTCTAGAAATTCTTTTTGAGTTTTGGCCAAACTATGCAAACAATGGCAGTTGGTTAATGGCAATCATTTTATTGGTATTCACGTCAGAGCACATATTGTATATGGAATTTCACTTTATCTCTTATTGTTCTAACTGGTATGAAATTATAAAATATTAAATTATTTCAAAGAGGTAGAAATTCTTATTAATTAATATATGTGTGTACATATATATATGCATATCTTTTGAAAAATCTAATTTTGAAATAATACATATGTATCTTTTACTGAATGGTTATGTGGCAGTCATGTCATGATTGCTGTTCAGGAATTAACTCATCTCCACCTGATAAGCAAAAATTCTTTTGTTGCCCAAGATGATAAACTCAGTAAAGGCCAGAGTCAGGATCTGAACTCAAGGCTGTCCAGAGCACACGCTTAATTATGACACTAAGTGAAGTTTTATACTAATTCCTCACTGAAAATATTGTCTTGGTTTCATTTTATATAATATGAAGAGAGAGAGATAACTTCATTAATGACATAATTCCTATTTTTAAACTGTTATATAAAACGCTGTGATCAGAAGTTGCCTTCCACACTATGGGCATGAGCCTTGCACGGGATTTCTTGCCCATCAGCACTGTTCTCTGGCTAAAAGTGCTTTCATACCCATATCTTTGCTTTTTTCCCTAGTGGGTATAGAAAATATTTGAATAATGCATATTACTTTCCATAGTCTTTCAACTAAACATTGCCTGCTTAAATCATTAAGATGGATTCCTAGTATAAAGTTGAAATGTGTTCAAAAAGAAGAAAACTTTATTTATAAATACCTAGATTATTAACCAATATTTAAATATAGGCAAATCAAAAACATCTAAAAATCTAGTTTTCATCAAATATACTTCTCAGATTAAGAAATAGAGTTCTCAAGGTCTTTTCTCCATTAAAATAGTTTTATTTTCAGTCTTCTTTCTGAAAAATGGTGAAGGTCATCTGGTGATGCTACTGCCCCAAGTTTGACACCGACATGGTATCAAGCCAGTGCCTCTCCCTCCTTCTCACCAGCTATAAGACCATCTTTCTCTGTCCTTTTGAAGCCTCTTACCTGCTTTTCCTCAAATCCCTCTCTTTGCATATATCCCATGATCAACATTGAGCCACTGCGTTGGACACCATTAGGCTTCCACTAATGTCTTCTGGTAGCTGCTGTTTTCTTCCAAGTACAGAGACTGTAACTGGCTCCACCAGAAAATAAAACAGAGGTCACTGAAGTAGCAAAGACTTCCAAGCTCTTTGCTAAATTTAGCTGTTCAATACTTTCCACTCTAATGAAATCTGTGAACTCCAATTATAGAATGTTGAAACAGAGTGGAAATTTAAAGGTCACCGAATCCAACTCCTTCACTGCTCTCTTGAAGGTGTGGGGGCCTAGACATAGTCTATGATTTGCTCGAGGCCATGGGGGTTGTTAATGACAGAATTGGAACTAAGATCTGTCATCCTTAGGGCAATGCTGAACACAGACATTCTGCCTCCAATGATCAGTTCAACCTAACTGGATCTCTAGGCATGCATATAGCTGACCGTGTTGGTTGTGGCTTAACCTCCATGGTCATGAATTTCTTGGTGGCTAAGGGTGACACAGCAAAGGTGTCTGACTTATAAGTTACCATAAGAGACATGAAATGATTGTAGAACCAAGCCCTGCCTCCATCTCTAAAAGGTTCCTGCTTTCTGTTCATCAATAATGAATAACCATCCCTGCAATACTCCAAGGGAGCTTACACTGCACTTTTGAGCAGCCAGTTAGTAATGTGCAATGGATAGAGCCTTTCTTTCAAATCCCAGGGCAGCAGGTCCTTCAAGGCTAGCATTGCATTTTCAATTAGTTGCTGAGTGAATGCTTGGCCTGTGTATTAGCGAAGAGGCACACAATTAGCTTGTTATTCCTCTCCGTATTGTGCTGAGCGGATCCCAAGGACTGGTGGGGGAACAGGCAAGCCGGACACCACTGGATGTTGAAGAAGGGAGTTACTCAAACCTCGGCATCTTCACTTGCTCAGTCTGCAATTACAGCCGTTTGTTACGAAGCACTGTGTGTGGCTTGGTGGGGTGTGCCTAAGGAAATACATCACGGATACCACTTGGGGTTAGGCTTTCTGAGCTCTTTTCATCTTTGACTAATTCTCAGCACTGTCATGGAGCCCAACAGCCCCAAAAAGATACAGTTTGCTGTACCTTTATTCCAGAGTCAGATTGCACCTGAGGCAGCAGAGCAGGTAAGTAAATTGGGTGGAGAAAATTCCTGTTTGTCAGGTAACATGAAAATGATTTCTTATTCGTGGAAATGTTTGCTATCTCTTGAATTTGCCTAACTTTGAAACTTTTAGGATAGGTGAATGAGAACTAGGTTGGTTTCTAATATGGATTTGGTTGTTGTAGGGAACTGTTGGATAAAATGCAGTGTTTCATATAAAAGTAGCACTCCTTAGGAAGAATGGGTATCAGTACTTCAAGTTTGGATCTGCATATGTTTCTTTTATTTGTTAAAATAACAGTTTCAATATTTAGAGCAGGTTTAAAATCAATTTCAAAAATTAGCACCATTTCATTTCATTATTCGTAAAATAAAGATTGATGTAGCAGTGCAAACATTAAACCCCCAAATAATTTCACACTCTAGGCTTAATATGTTGATATGCTTTTCATTTTATGCCCCAAACAGTAATTATATATGCAATATATAATAGATAAGATTTGAAGGTATATGTATAATTTTTAGAACATTTTGTTTGCATAGTATAATATTTCAACATTAGATTCCTTTTCCATGTCCAATGTCCAATGTTGGTTTACATCTGTAACACCTTTCATTTTTAGATTTCTTAGACTCAATGCAAGAACCACTTGAAAGAACATTTGTGATAAAACTACAGATGTTGTATTCTACTGGGAGCCAAAAGCAAAGGAATTTATGGGAACAACAATCTAAATCATTAATTTCCAATAACCCAAATTATTCCTGAATCCTTTTCCAATTATGGATACAAAGTCTTAAAAATAATACTTGAATTTGAGACTCCTTGGTTTTTAAGATGTTTTGACAACCTGAAGTAGATCCACCTAGACTCAGGCTCAATAAATACAAGCTTGAACATAAGTCTCTGCTGAAAGGAGCATCGCTTTTGTCTTGGACAAGATGTCACTGGTACATTTTAGCCTTTATCCTACTGACACATACTTTAGGAATTTAATTATGAATGAATATATAAAGAAATAAAGGATACCTCAGGCAAGACATTTGATTCACAATATGCTACTATAATTTTTCAAGAAGAAAAAAACCCACCAAGCCTCTTTTAAATGAATTACATATTATTGTAAAATGTATATTGATCACTTACTGATATGCTCTCAATTTTATACTAGAAAATAAAACCTAATATTAATTGAAGTTTAAAACTCATGCTGCTAATTGAAGTATGACATATCCTAGAAATTTGAGGTTTGCAAGTTCCTCTTTCCCATTTAGAGATAAAGATAATGGATCTTAAAAGCATCGCCAATATTATGAGTCTCCAAGAGAGCCATTAAAATGAGCACATCATCCCTCTATCTTCACTCTATATTAATTTTCAGTTGCATCGCTTGATTACATATAATGATTTCTTCTCTGTGGAAATGTAGTATTGTGATCAAAGAAGATGAGAATAATATCTGACAGTTTTATGCTCTGTCTTTTCATTCTTAAAAATAATTAGCAAAAAAAAAAAAATTAGCAAACACATACTGTGTGTTCTCCAGAAGTTTACCTTTGCACATTGGAAATAAAAGTGAGAAGGGATTTGCTTTGCAAGCTGTAATCACGATTCTTGCTGACATTAGCTGGCCCTTTGTTGTTCACAGATCAGGAAAAGAAGACCTACACCAGCGTCACTTGTGATTCTCAATGAACATAACCCCCCAGGTAAAGAACATGGTGTCTTTTACACGGGTGGGACAGAACAGGATGGTTGCCAAAGCACCAAAGAGTGTGTCATTGCCAAAAAGTTCCAGTTCTGAATTTTAGGGAGCAGTACTCTAACAATTGGTAAAATGAACCAGAAACATATAATACAAATATCTCACACAATACCTGCTTTCCTTCTAGAATGACACAGGGTGATAGTATGTTGGGAAATGTTTTGTTAGCTCTGGTTGTCATGCGTTCAGGTGTTTGTGTGGCATCTGGTTCAGTGCTTATTAATGAGTCTGGTGAAAAGTTGTTTAATTGGGTTTCAAAGCTCAAATTGCAGCCCTAGATACTTATGTTTTTAGAGTGGGTTTTTTATTTATATCATGGAGTGGGCAATAAGCCAGTATTGGTTAGAGCTGTACTGCTGATGCCATCTCTAAATAATGTAATTCACAAGGAACCAGATCAGTTTTCAGCACTTCCCTTCTGAGAGCCATTCTGAATGGTTGCATCCATTTGTTGAGGTTTTATTTTCCATTTCCTGTAAAAAGCAAAACTTCATTATTATTCCTGATGAAGGACTATGATTTGCAATACACATGCATTATTTACTTACTGAGCAGGGTTATTTAGTCTTGCATTTAAGTGCTGCTTCTCGAAATATAAATGGGACAGGAAAGGTCAAGGCATTAATTTGTAACGAGGCCGAACTCCATGTTGGGTGTTTTGCAGGTATAAACAACAAGGGAGAACAAAAAGAGCTTGAATAGTGGAAACATAATACATCTAATTATAGGTTGTAGTTAGTAAATGACCTGTTTTAAGAATACCAGGGTAAAACAGTCCTTGACCTCTGGAATCTAAGTAGCGAAATACATGAAAAGAAAGGAAAATTCTCATAGAATATTCATTATCGAAACAACTACAAGAGAATTTTCAGGTGATGAGAAACAAGCTATTTATCTCTGCTGAAAACAAAATCAGAATGTGATCCTTTATTTTTAAAGTGCTGTAATATTTAAAGACTATCTTCAGATGTATTATCTCAGTAAATATCTATTTGGTTGACTAGCTGTTTCAAATGGTTTATACTCGCAGTCAACAAATAAATTCAAGTAAATAAACGCAATGGCTAGATCTTCTCTGTTTAGAGGTAATTCTAGAGTAATTTTCCATTGCTCCCTTGCTTACCATGGCAAACATCTCTACATGTCTTGGAATTCGTTAGCTCTCCTCTTCAAAGGATGCTGCCCAGTTTGATTTCTAGGTATCCTTCACAGCACAAAGGAGATGCTTTTTTATGGTTGAACCCTGTTGAAGTTGTGTAAGGGGCCTTCATTTAACTGGTGTCTATTTATGTAAGTGGCTCTCACTTGAACACCGGAAATTGTAGCTACTGTTTCTTGAGCGCCAAATATGTGTCGTTTTACAGATGAGGAGAGTGTGTATCCCAGAGCTGAAGTGACTTTTGTGAAGTCATTTCTTGAGAGCTGATGAACTCCAAAGACAAACTTAGATGAATCTAATATTGAAGCCCAAGCTTTTCCCACAGCCTGACACATGCCCTGAACATTTGAGCTTCTATTATAGGGGGTAGCTCTGTGTGGACATTCAATCCCACAAATAAGCAAACCATAACTTCATATAAATCCTTCATCCGGACCACATAATAGATTAGGAATCATATTTACATATCCCCAAAAAGCAGATATAGTGTTCTCTAATAACCTGGCTCTTACTAGACCTCCCAATCAGTAAATGGCATTATCTTATTTCCTTAATTGATCTCTTCCTTCTCTCTGTGTTATAAGCCCCACTGCAGAGAAATTAGATGCATAGCATCTCGCAGAGAGCTACATCGTCTTAGTAATATCACCTCCCTGCATGGTTATCTTCCCTTGTGGGTAAGGAACTGGTTGGCCTTGGCGGTTACAGCACTGGTATCAGTGTGTATGGGAACTACAGATTCTGGACTACTGATGGAATCATGCAACAAAAACCCTGTAAGCTTATAGTTTTCCTGGAAGAATGATCTAACACTATGGTTCTGGGGAGGTAATAACTATGGGCCTCTGCAAGATAAACAAAGAGCAAGCAAAGGACAATGATCCCGATCAGATCTGAGTAGTGGCCTTTATTAGTATATGGTCTTTTCTCATTTATAAAAGATGGATTATAACATCCATTCTTCTTCACAGAGTTATTATAATCATCAAAGAAGTTAACATGAATCCACTTTAAAAACTGCAAAGTATAACCATTAGGTGTCATTAGCTGATTTTTAGAAAACTTTTGCATGTGATATTTAAGAGTTAAAATATATTAGAACAAGAAGTATAAAGTCTTTATTATTGCATCTGTATTGAGTATTTCTGCCTTATTCAGTAATCCTTTATGTTCCATAAACAATAGGATTCATTGTTCCGTAAACAATGTTTATGTTTATTATCATCTAAACAGTAACAAAAAGCCTCACAAGTGTTAAATGACTATTTTTAAGCAATGGTTTCTTCTGGCTCTCAAACATAGTGTTCTCTAGCAAACAGAAAATGGTGCAGCTTTAAATTCTGGGAAAACTAAACAATTCAATTCACTAAAATAGCCCAGGGATTAAATAGAGGATTTTAGAATCACTTGTCATTAATCGTGTTTAAAAGTCAAGTTTTTACCATTCTTTTCAGTACTGAGGATTGAACCATTGAGCTATATCCCCAGCCCTTTTTAACTTTGCAACAAGGTCTTGCTGAGTTGCCCTGGCTGGCGTTGAACTTGTGATGCTTCTGACTTAGCCTCCCTCAGTGCTGGAATTACAGGCATGGGCCACCACACCTAGCTCTGCAAATAATTCTTTATGGTCAATTAATAAAGCAAAGAAAATTCTCCATTATACAAATGTTATTAACAAATTGTTTCCATTTTTGATGCTGTCAGTGTATTGCAATCATTACTAAACAAAAGATACAGCTTACTATGTTTTTAACTATTTCAGAAGTTTGCAGAAATAGTCCATTATAAAAGAGTATAAAAAGAATGATTTAATTTTATACACACACACACACACACACACATATATGTACACATACCCATATATAGTCTCTTTGTATTTGGTAGAGGGGAAATAGAATGTCTATTTTTTAAACTTACTGATGAGGCAGACACATGACTGGTTGGATTCTAGGGGCAACAAACAGAATGTCCTCAGTTCTTTTCTAATAAATAACTTCAAGTTATTATAACCTGAAGCACTGTAAGAAAGATGCATCAGTTGTTAAGGAAATACCATGCTCTGGTGTGAATCAGTAAATCAATTTAACTCAAAACAATGATAAAGAGACTAAAACTTTGAATGGAAGGTACCAGTCCTGGGAAAGTCTAATAGTAAAAAGTACATCTCTATGGTAAAAGGCGGGAGGCAGACAAGAAATTGGGGAGTACTGGGGATCGAACTCAGTACCTTGCTTGCACTTGTGAGGAAGGGGTAGCACCATTGAGCTAATTCCCAAGCCCAAGAAATATTTGCTTCTAGGAATAAATCTGAACAGCCAGATGGCGGTAGAAAGATATTGGAAGCCTAAAATCTGGGGTAGTAATAGCGAACATTTTAGAGATGAGCACCCAAACTGCAACCCCAAACCCACTTGTCTATCTCCAAGTGCCAACACTGCAGTTAAACCCAAATACTGAGATTTAGTTTAGAAAAAACAACTCATACATTAACATCCTTTGTCATAAAAACACAATAATATGCATGCTGTAGGTTCACTACCACTGGTGTATGTAGGTTTCAAATGTCAAGACAAATGTCAGTTTCTTCAGGATGCTTTCTGGGTCTGGCAGTGTGAGTGACTTTGTAACAAACTGCTTCTCCTTCTGAATTTTCAGTTCCTCTTCTGATCAAGGTTATCTGATTATGGTCACCTCTCTGAAGTTCTGTTGTGGAACAGCATTGCCCCTTCCTGTACTGCTTGATGGTTGCTTTTAAAAATGTGTGGTTGAGTGGTGGCTTACATATTTTTATCTGGAGGGGCGCTTACACCTAGATCTTCTCCTCACAGCATTAAATGGTGAAGTTACTTTACGTAATTTATTCCATCTCATTCATCAATTTACTTCATCGTCACCTGTCTTTGAGTTGACTTAAGAGAAGACTGTGTATTTGGTTGTCAGTATGTAATGGTTTGGATCATAGATGTCCCCTAAAGGCCCACATGCTGCAGGAGTAGCTGCCAGCCTGCAGTGCTGTTGGAATGTGGTGGACCTTAGGAGGCTGAACCTAGTGGGAGGTTGAATCTTGCGGTGGGGGGGTACCCTGGAAGTGACATGAAACCATTGGTCTCTTTCTCTTTCCCTGCTTCTTGGTTGCTCTAAGTGAGCACTTTTTCCCCACCATGCAACTCCACCTCAGCCCCAAAGCAATGGGACCAAGTGACTGTGGAAACTGGGATCTGTCCTCAGTCTTCTCCTTGTAAGTCGTTTTATCTCAGAAGTTTTGTCGTGATGATATAAAGGAGATTAACACATAGTGTTAGAAATCTAGAGCTAGGAAAGAACTATGGAAAATACTTAGTGTGGCCATAACCACATGTCTTCATGAGACACAGAAATCAATCCAAGTCCCTGAGACTAGCTCTGTTTCATGTATCTCAGAGAATAATCCGTGATTATCCCTGGTTTTCACTTTCAGGACTGATAATTTTAGGGGTTAAAAAAATACAGCTTCTTATACAGAAGTTTACAGTGATCGATCATTTATTCTTTTCCACAAAAGACCCTTTTGTCACATTTTAAAATACATGAAACAGGGACAGGAATTTAGCTCAGTGGCTCTGCTGCCTGTTTTGCAAGTGTAAGGATCTGAGTTCGATCCCTATAACAACAACAACAAATAATAATAATAAAATACATGAATGAATGCCATATTACTTTCCTTTCTGTATGGAACATCCCCAGCCCCACTAAGGGCCTAAATGTACTCTATCTACATATTCTCCTTCCTCTCTGCATTTGGAGCC